CACATCCTCACTTGTCTAATTTTTTTAAAAACGATGTTCATTAAATTATATATATATATATATATATATATATATATATATATCAAGGCCTCTTATTAAGATTTTGTTTTAGGCCTCCGATGAGGTTGGCCCGCCCCTGCATATTGCAACATGCATTACTGGCTAGCTATCACAATTCGTATACATAGATTATTCGTTACTCATTTGTAGATCAGTCCTTGAACTACGTACTAGTGAAATCTTTAATAAAGTTTATCACATGTAGATTGTAGTCAAGTTTCTATACTTAATTAACAAGGTTATACTATATACGTCTTTTCTCCGCCTGTCGTAACAACAACAAAAGTCCATACCGGAATTTCATTACCTTATTCCTTAAACCCTAAAACGGAGACATTGGTACAAGAGGAGGCTCGAGAGACCTCGAGCGTAATATACGCTACCATCGGAGAGACTTTAGCCACATCTTAACCCATGGTTGAAGAATGAGGCGATCAAGAAAGTCGTGGGCCTCGTAGTACCCGCATACGACAGCTCTGTGGAGCTTTTCGGGTCGAAAACCTGTTCGACGTCAGAACCGATCTCAAAACCCTAATATCACCCTCTGAAGAGAAAGGACTTTCTCTATATCTATATCTATGNTAAAAAATAAAAAATCATCCGATGTTTGATACTCGTATTGTCGTCGGACTAAATTCGGATTCGTGTCAGGAAGTCCTCCATTGGAGGGTAAAGCTCCCTAACAAAAGTGATTTTTATACTCGGTGCTTAAACCCGAGACCTCTGGTTAAAGATGGAGTCTAATCACTCCACTACAATCCATATTGGTTACTATTAAACAACTTTACTCAAAGAACTACCAACTTTATTCTAATTTATGTGACAAAGTTTAACTGAGTATAGAGCTTAAGGGAAAAAAAAAGATTATTTTTTAAATTTGTGATCTTAAACTTGTCATAATTGTCATATGGTTATAAAAGCTTGTCACTAGCGGAAAAAAAAAATTAAGTTAAATTAGTTCCATATTTAAAATGTTATTTTTCTTAATATATTAAAAAACTATTGCAGCATAAACTGAAATGGAGGAAGTAATATTAAGACCAATAATGAATAATAAGTGCTCAAATGTCGAAAAGAATGTGAAGTTTCTTATAGCACATCTAAACAGTGCCTATCCCTCCCACGCAGCATATAATATCAAATACAAAAGGTTAATTGAAATTTTCTCATTAAGAAAAAATAATGTAGACATTAAAGAAAGTTACAAATTATAAAATATATAAGCAACAAATAGAACAATAAAAGAGTCTCATATTAAATAATACTCACACGCTAGAACACCTTGATTTCTAACTTGTCTTCAATTCAACACACAACATGTAAAGAATCTCAGTCTCAGAAGGTGAAGGTCTTTATTTTTGGCAATGCAGCCCTATGCATTATATGCTTTTCTGCATTCTGCATATAGGAATGAAAGCAAATAATTAAATAAAGGAAATATATATTTTTAAAAACTAAAAAAAGCCCGTATAGTCATAACGAGGTTAGTGGCGGAACCAGGAATTTGTATAAGGAAATTAAAAAAAAAAGAGTTCCATAGTTGGGATTCAAACTTGTAACTTAAAGCAACTTTGAAATTTCATTTACCACTACACTAGAATTTTTCCTTTTTTAATGGTTTATATACTAAAATTTTGATATTAACCTATTTATACAGCAAAAAAATTTGACAAAGGAGATTTAATTGAACCGCTTTCCCTCTTATTATCTCTGTATGGCCCCTAAATATGGGCATTGCATGCTACTAAACTATGCCCTAGGGCTGAACTCAATACTTAAATTAAGTTACCACAATACCATGCCAATTTTGAAAAATTAAATTAATTTAACTTTGTCCTTGGTCACATGTTAATTCGAATGATGTTATCGAATCAAGAATATACTATGGACAGTTGCCTGTCCTAGGTACTCGTAACCTAATGGTGTGTACATAATTTTTGCTAATACTATTATTAGTTCATAGAAGATAAACTCGTATTTTGACATGCATAGCTAAGATTGCTAGTTTGTGGAAGTAGAAGTACTAACAAAAATGCATCACTGTCCCAGAAAATTTTGTAGGTAGTATTTGTTGATGCGTGTGATCATCTTATTTCAAAATTTAAACTGTTAGAGAGGGCACGCTTAAATTATTTTTGATAATTGAGTGGTGAGATTTGAACCCAAGATCTCTGGATGTTCTGATAACATATCGGAGTATGTGCCTATTTCATCGAAACTACTTAAAAGTTTAAGTTGTTAGAGATAACTAGCATAGTTTATGATTACGTATTTAATATTGTTCTCTTGGTAGGTAATATAAAAGTCATGCTTTTGGGTTAAGAGAAAAAGAAGGATTGAATAATGGTTACCTCAAGTTTAGCTTGATTCTTGGTCTCCAGCGTGAGCCCAAAGTGAATGTGAGGGAAGTGTGCCCACTAAACCAAAAGATAGCTAAATCAGTAATTACCAAATCCTAATCCTAATAAGAAGTAAAGCAGTCAAAAAGAATTTTTTTAAGAGAAGATACAATGACATTTGTCAATTTTGTAGAACTCAATAGAAAAAATATATATAAAAAAATTAAGAGTGCATAGTGCTTGTTCCTAGATAGCAGCTCCTGATAAACTACCCAGTACACAGACACAAGTGAGGTGTCGCTTGCCTTGGTGAACTCGAAAAAGAGGAAGAAATTAAAGGGGAGGACGTTAAATGTACTTCCTCTATCTCAATTTTATGTGATGCTTTTCGTTTTTCGAGATTCAAACATTTTAATTTTAAGAGTGGAAATAGTGGCATTTGCCCATCATTTTAGAAATCAATAGAAAAGAAAACAAAATCTAAGAGTGATTAGTGATTGGTCTCGAATAGCTTCCGATGAACTGCCCAGCTAGATAGACACAAATGAGGTGTTTCTTACCTTAGTGAGCTCGAAAAAGAGGAAAGGAGAGGACGCTAAAAAGTATTTGCTCTATCTCAATTTTATACGATACTTTTCGCTTTTCGAGATTCAAACGTTTTAATTTTGACTATGCATTTGAACATAAAATCTTTTAATTTTGGAAAAAAAGGTTAGATATATCCCTATACTATTGAAAATAATCTAATCCTGCCGTTAGCAAAATAAACAAAAATACCCCTATCATTAACGGTTGTCCAAAGTGGCACGAGACCCATCAAATTTTAAGCTTAAGTGGAGTCCATGTTCTTTTTTTTAACAATATCTTTTAAAACAAATGACTAAACCTACCCCTTCCTTAATTAAAATCTTCTTCTCCTTTAAAGTCTATCACTGCTGAGATCTAAGGATTTTTTTGTTTAATTCCAAAGGAAATTTTGCACAAACGAGAACTGTACATGAAAGAATGTTCAAAATCAAAAATTGTACAATCCAAATTTGAGTTCATGGATAACACTCTCACAAAAATCTCAAATGGGTCATGTCTCAACGCCCCTTCAATATCCACAAGTAAACAATAAACGAATCATTGTTGATTTCCTCCTCCTTTAATTTAAGAAGGAGTAGGTTTAGTTATTTGTTGTAAAAAATATTGTGAAAAATAATAACATGGACTCCACCTATGCTCGAAAATTGTTAGTGATAAGGGCATTGTTTTTTTACTTTACTAACGGTAAGGGTAAATATAAATGAAAAGTATAACGGAAGATAAATGTAAACTATTTTTAATAGTACACGGGTGTATTTGACCATTTTTCCTTTAATTTTTCGAAATAAAATATGCATATTTGAAAACTACCTAAAAAGTACTATAAGTAACAATAATTAATAATTTAAAAAATTTAAAAAGCATATGAAAAAATTTCGGTCAAAGTATGATTCGTTTGAGTCTCGAAATTTAAACACCTTCACATAATTTGGGACGGAGGGAGTAATATAGATTGTAAGTTTCTAAGGATTTGCACTTACATTTTTTGCAGCAGTACTAAATGCTTCCCTATGAGTGATATCTGGATTATTAGCCTTGATCCTTTGAATTTCCTCTCTGCACATTTACGCATTTTGTACATACTCAGCAAATTAATATATAGTGGTTAAGATATATCCTTATAAACACACATTTAATATAGATATTTTAATATGAACTTATTAAAGACACGTGAGCTGCCTTACTTTATGAACTGGTTATATGCAGAAGGTACTCGCTGCCTCTTCTCAGGGGCTGAAAAAGAAAACACATAAATAATTAATCTCGCTAAATAGAATAATTAAGTATTTAACTTATATTCATATAGTGTAGCAAAGAATTTTTACACTATCATTATATTTTAACATGTTATAGCAGGTAACGTACGTCGATTTGCAATCGTCTCCTCACGAGGATTTTTTGTGAGGGATGATCGGACTGCCATCCTGCTGTTGCATTTAGATGATGAACCAAAATCTATCTTGTATTCAGGAGAAGTGTAGTTGGACACCTGAAATTAAGTTACTCACAAAAATAAAAAGAATATGATGAGAAGAAATAATCAGCCAAAACAAAAATCTAAATTTGCTAATGAGTGATTAATTTTTTTTAAGTAAAGTAATTAAGAGAAGATTAATATCAATAAGTATAGGCCACGAGGTTCTCTTAATTTCTTCTTTTCTCAATTTCTTTGAAGTATTGAGATAGATGGGGTAAAATAAATCTTAATGAGATAGACATATAGTTAATCTATTCACCTTTAATCACAAATTTCGACTTTAAGTCTTAATTATGAAAACCTTTTTCTATGAAGCAATTTACCCTCTTTACTTAGTCTACCAAAGATAAATTAGTTAGATAAATACAAATTCTATAGTGCAAGTGAGATCTGAGGAGGATAATGTGAATGTAGCTTTATCCCTACCTTGTGAAGGTAGAGAAACTGTTCATATAAACTCTCGCCTCAAAAAAAATAAAATCACAACATTTTATTGTGCATGGGGGAGTTTATTTTTTATCAAAAGGATTGAAATGATGTTATATGAGAAAGACCAAAAGATAACATGACAACAATTGAAGTGACTGAATAAGTTTGGAATGTTAAAGGCTAAATATATATACACAGTTTTTGTTGAGATCCAAGAAGGAATCTGTGGGAAAAACAAAAATGTTAGTTTTGGTCAGTGTTTCCACATTAGAGGACAAAAAATCCCTGACGAGAAACAAATCAATAAGGAAAAAAGCAACCTCAAAAATATTTCATATCAATCAAATCAACTTAAAAGCAGTTCGCGAGTAAATTAATAGGATCCACAATTTAAAGTTTAAATGCAACTTATTGAGTTTTGAATAAATGATTTACATGTATTAAATGATTTCTTTTTCACACAAATACATAATTTTAGTCAAAGCAACTGAATTCACCCCTATAGGTCAAGGACCAAAAAGAGAAAAGATCAGAAAATAAAATAGTCTACTTAGAATGTAGCTAGGTATTGGTTGTGGCGGCTGTTAGATTCTAACCAAAAAGTTGATTTAATAACTCAATATCCTGAGTATTAGTGTCTGTATATTTATGTCCTTAAAAGAAGCAAAACCTAGAAACCCTAGATTTCAGAAGCCTATGTATACAAATTAAAACATAACGCCCACAATTTGAGCTTCCAAAAAAAAATGTTTCCTTTTGGATTTTGACCTGAGAAAATGCAGCAGCCATATTTACAGTCCACATATTTGTGCAGTGTCCACATCGAATTGTCACTATATCAAACAAGTTGCTGCATGGTACACTCACCTGCAATTATATATATATTAAACCCCATTAATATAATAACATCAAAAAGAAACGAAACAAAATAACTTTTTTTTTTTTAAAACTAGGAGTCATGTAAAACTCAGCAATTTCTTGAAGATCTAGTCACAAGTGAGTGATGGTCACAAAAAATGTGATTTTATTATATTTATTATATATGTTAAAAACATTCTTAGCATATAATTAATGTTTTACTATGATTTTAGCAAAAAATAATAGATTCAGTTGAACTCGTAGAACCATCTATGTCCGTCTATAGAGCTTAGGGAGAGGCCATTTCAGGTGGAAGGTAAAGGTCTAGTTCTTGAGATCTCTTCCCACAATTGCACCAAAAAAGAATGAGAGAAACTTCATATATTCTCCCAACTACAATGGGACTAAGCTTCCCCTTTGTTTCTCTTCTTTAGCTAACGATGAAGCAAATCCCTAAAATCAAAGTAGTCAATGAAAGCATTTATTTTTTCCGTTCAAGAAATTGCCATAAATCGATAAACTAGGTAGTGAGAATAAGAAAAAAAAACATAAGCTACCTCGTTCGTGCTCATACGGCTCTTTTATGGAGTAAATTTTTAGATCTAAGATGTGAACAAAATTTGAAAATGAGAATTCTACCATTAACATATCTATGTCAGTCATATTTTAAAGCTTAGTAAGCTTCTAAAGAAACCCTAAAAGAACAATTTGGTTTTCTTCAAAGGGTGGAACTTCCAAGAAAATGGTCAAAAAACTGAGAACTTAAAATCATTTGAATGAAACCATTAGCAAAGAAAAGCTCTTTTCTGATAACACACTAAAGAGTAGTACTACTTTGTTAGCTTGCCTGTTAGTGCATTCTTTTCAGTAAAGAGAAAGGTACAACACAGAAATAAGAAAAATCTAAGGAGTGGAAGGACACTTCTTGATCATAATTATCTTCAATAATTTGTATTTTTTGAATTTAGGTAATCCTAAAATCAACAGAAAGCTTTAGTGTTTCAAGTATCACTTTCTTTGAGTACTGCAAAAGATCAAAGAATGCAAAAAAGAGATGTCTATAGATTGAGACTTGACTTCTGAAAGCAAAAACAAGTGAGAAAACCTATGGGTTTCTTTATAATACCACCAAAATAACCAATCTCTCTGAATTACAAATCAGCTTTATTCAACTAGTAAAAAGACAGAAAATAAAGTAACTTCACACACACACACACACACACACACATATGATACAGATAAAAACATGCATATTAGTAACACTAGAGAGAGAGAGATATATACCGCAAGAACAATATTGCACAAGTTGCAAGGGATATAGCAGAGTTGCTCAGAATTAGTAGAATCAATGCAGTTTGCCATGTTTATTTGAGGACTTGTATCTTAAGGGAAAGAACAAAGAAAATGGTGAGAATAAATTAAGAAAAGTGGAAGAAGAAATAACCAAATATATAGAGATCAAAATAAGAGGAGACAGTCCTTTACTCCCTCTTGGAAGCACAAAGGTAAAGCAAACACTAAAGAGAATAGGCTTTTATTCTCTCTCTAGTGTATTGCCTTTTTTTTTTTTGGGTTATTTCTCATTCGGCGACTCTATACACACGACTAGAATTCCAAATCTCTAGTTAAGAATAAAAGATCACCTGCATAACCTTGTTGGTTAGTATAATGCTTTCAAAATGCGCTTTGTGCACAAAGGTAAATAAAATAGGTGTATAAAAAACACATACTCCCTCCATTCCAGTTTACGTTATCTTATTTCCTTTTTAGGTTGTTACAAAAAAAAAAATTCTTTTCTAAATGCGAAATGATTTAACTTAAACTTCTCATATTACACTAAATAACTAGTATTTATAGCTAGAGGCGTATCCAAGTTGAGGGATATGGGTTCACGTGAACCCATACTCCTCTTCAGAAACCATGTATAACAATATTATATTTTTTCAAAATTACTTAAATATATGTGTGTGAACTCATGCTCAAAGACTCTTATGGTGCAATTATATATTATTGGGTATACCTCTATAAATGAAATTGATAGTTCAAATCTCACTCTAAACGGTCTTATTTTCGGCACATAGTATAAATATATGTGAAAATTACTAAAATTTCAAAAAAAATATAATTTTGAACCTATAATTTCAATGGTGTAGTGGGTTCATGGTAAGAACTAAAGTTAAGCCCGTCAAATATAAATTCTTAATCTACCTCTTCACAATAGTGCACTCATGCATCCTCTTGAAATCCTGGATCCACCTCTGTTTATAGCCACATAAATATTGTGATATGTGTAAGACTATACGAGTTCAAAAGTGTTTTAGTCATAATACAAATATTACGATATGTTTAAAACTATAAATTTTAAAAGTCTCCTTCCTGAGGAGCAAACGTTGTGTCGACTATAATACCAGACTCGGATAACAGAGACAAAAGTCTGCCATAGTGCTTCGAGATGATTTTTTCCTATAAGTAGGCTTGATAAGAGCTCAAAAATGAAAAGAAGATATAATTTTTTTGACAATCACAACAATTTCTCAACTAAGAAAACTGATGTGTGATTAGGTAAATTATTACTATCCTTTAATATTCTGTAATATATATTGAGATTCATTGTAAAAAGAATACAATTTTCTGTAATTCTTTTATCAAAACTAAAAAAATAAAAATAAAATTAGGTTAGCTCAATTCAATAGTGCCCACGGCAATAAGGAAATTGGTGAATAGGAAAAAGCAAAAAGTTACTGCAAATACTGCTAGCTGTTATAGAGGATATCAATCCCATATAATATCCGGTTCATAGAAAACCGGGTTTTGAGGAATTAATGTGGGCTTCTTTTCAGAAGTGTCAGATATTGGCCAAACAAGGGTTAGGGTTTTGTTGGGAATTAACTTGGGAGGATGAGGAAGAGAAGGTTTTGGCTGTATTATGCAAGCAATCCACAAAATAAGTCAAGAAGAAGAAAAGAAGCCTCTTTTCTTTTTTTTTTAAATTTAACATACATACATGATATCAAAGTAAAAAATTTATATTATCGGTGTTACTTGCGAACAGTGGCGGAGCCAAAATTTTTATTAAGGGATGTCAAAATATATAAAAGTAAACACACCAGAAATTAAGGAGAGTCAACACATAATATATATACATATAAAAAAAATTTACCTACCTACACAATGTATTTTACCCGTGAAGGGGTGTTATTTTACACCCTTTCTGTAAGGTGGCTCCGCCATTGCTTGCGGAGTGAAGAATTTATGTAAGTGGATTCACAAAAATGCATACTTAAAATTTGAACCGAAAACCTAAAACGCTTCGATGAACTTCTTTACCACTTCACTAGAATTTTGCTTTATGTAAAGAAAATTGATCAACAATTTAAACATAATAACAAAAGATTTAATCTTGTTGCGCAGTGTAATTTTTCAATGAAGGGAATGCTATTAAACTCCCTTATCTCCACCACGTTGGTGTATATATATCTTTGTAATAGGTTACCGGTCTTATCTTTTAGGTAACCGATTAGTGTAAAATAAGTTGTATAGCGTAAGCGTACAAAAATTAAACTTTTTCATCTAATATTTTTTTTCATGGTGGGGTGAGGGCAGGGGGTGTAGCGAGTTTTGGGTTNGGGGGGGGTGTTACCCATGTTTGTTTGTTTGTTTGTTGCCATTATAATTGTATGTGCTGATGAAGAAAAGAGAGTGGTGTGGCTATGCCCTTTCCCTATCAATCTATGCGACACCACAGCGGACGAGGGGGGCGCAATGTCTCTGTGTGTTTAATTTTAATTTTTTTAAATTCTTTCTTCTTTTTTTATGCATTTGTTCTTTTTACAAGTTAAGTTTTATGCATTTTATACTTACCCAATCAAATCATATATATAAAAGATAACTGCATGTATTTTTATATTGTCACTAGTTTTCATTACTTATTATATTATTGTTTATTACTTTATTTTTATTGTTTCTTAAGCCGATGGTCTATCGAAAACAGTCTCTTTGCCTTTATAAGGTAGGTGTAAGGCTGCGCATATATTACCCTCCTCAGACCCACGTATGGAATTAAGCTGGGTTTATTGTTGTTGTTGCATGTAACTTTATATAATAAGCATAGATTTAAGTTAAAAGAATTTACAGTAATGAGTTTAATTGGTTATACTAAGTTGTCGTTCTATTTTCTAAATTAATAGTTCAACTTGATTGTCTAAAACATCTCTTATATAAACTCAAAAAGCAAGAATGGGTAACTTAGGATATAGGATAAACAACCTTCGTTAAATTACAATGATAGTATGAAGATTCTATACAACTAAAATCCAGACTAATGTACAATATATAACGGTAAAAACTTATCTGTACAAGCCTAACAACAGAAAGTACTACGATTACCTCTACCATAGAGATAGTAATAGATTTTGATGGTGCTTTATTCCTAAAGCATATTTTTTCCTTTTTACCCTTTTTCGTGATACCTTAATACTCTTAACGAGACTCGTATTAATGGCTACAGACACATACCAAGAAAAACGTTTTCTGTAATTTACAATATTATTTTAATAATTTGGTATAAATATTTGGTGCGAATAAATTTTTTATCTTATTCGTAAAATGTTTTACTTAACTCATTCTCCTGGGATTTCAACCCTCATTAATGACCCAATCCGAATTTAACTTGCATGAAAATATGAGACTACTTGGATATTGACTCGTTTTTGTTTAACTTATTTTTAACCGCTCAAATTTAACCCATAACATCGAGTTATCATCTTTAATGAGAATTACTTCATCCTTAATTTGAGATTTTTAAAAATTGAATAGTTGATAGAGAATGTTGGAGGGGCTTGAAGCTCAACCTCAGCCTTGGCATGTCGGGAATAAAGGGCGACATACTAGATGTAACCATTGTATTGCGCTGTCTTTCGATCGATACACAGTTGAGAAGGCCAATCACAAATATTATCCTAGAAAAAAGGAAATAATACAAGATTTCACAAGCAGAGTTAGCATAAGAAGAGTTTATATACGAGATAAAAATTTAAATTGATCGGAACAAAAGGCTAAATGGTTAAAATAAAAAGAGAAAGAGGGGCCAAATATAAAGAGATATATAGATTTGTCGGGAAAGCCAAACTGGTGAATGTGGTGGATGTACCTTGTTAGAGTTGAGTCGTTTTCTATGTCTCAAACGTAATAAATAGCCCTTAAAGTACAGACAAATCACACTCTCTCATATTTGCTTCTTTCACTATCATTTGCTATTTCTTTTTCGCCATTAATAATGCCCATTTTTCAAACTCTTTTTTGGCATTTGATATTCTGTACTTGTACAGGAGTGCCGACTAATCTGAATTACATAGCGTAGCGTTTATTAGAGGGGAACGATTCCCTACTAGGATTTTTCATTCCTAAAACTAGAACTCGAGACCTCTGATTAAAAATCATATGCTCACACCACAAACCTTAGCTTCGCCTGCACCCCCTCCCCCAAACCAAAAAAAACCACCCCTAATTATTGACTTGAATTTGCATAATTATTTAGAGTGTTTGTGTGTGTACGATGTCATATATATCATACGACATGAGATGGTAAAACTAACTCAAATCCATTTGATACGTCCAACCCGTCCAAGTTTTGATGGGTTTGGGCTAGAAGAATTTTGAAAATGGGTTATTTTGGGCTAGCCCAAGTTAATCCATAAAACAATATCACCCCAAATGATGCAAAACATTGACCCAATAAATACTCAATCTTAGAGTTCTACCTTGGCTCATGTTCTGAAAAATATTTTCTAATTTTTCCATGTTTTGTTGGTTTAAATGTTTGAAAAATAATTTCTTTATGAATTCGCTTTTCTTCAATTGGAGGAAAATATTTTTCAAAACTCTTTTTCAACCTTCCCATCTCTACCAACCCCCACCACCCCACCCA